GAGGAGGAGGAGGAGGAGGAGGAGGGGAGGAGGAGGAGGAGGAGGAGGAGGAGGAGGAGAGGAGGGGAGAGGAGGAGGTGGGGGAGGAGGAACGTTCGAGGCTGGTGAGGGATGCCACGACGGAGAGGCGCGGGCGGCCTGCCCTTGCCGCACTTCTTCACCGAGGCGGCCAGGCGCTTCTGCAGCTTCAGCGACATGGCCCCCGCGGGCCCCCCCCCCCAGCGCGCGCGCGGCGGCCGCCCTCCCTGCCCCGCCGTGCTGCCTGGCAGGCCGCGGGCTCGGCCTGGGGGGGGGAGCCGTGGCCTGGGCCCGGGAGGAGGGAAGAGGGTACCGAGGAGGAGGAGGAGGAGGAGGAGGAGGAGGAGGAGGAGGAGGAGGAGGAGGAGGACGAGGAGGAAGTGAGGACGAGGAGGACGAGGAGGAGGTGAGGACGAGGAGGAGGACGAGGAGGACGAGGAGGAGCAGGGCACCTCGCACTGGAGGTGAGGACGAGGAGGAGGAGGCGCACAACTCCTCCAGGGGTGCGCCCTCTGACCTGGCCTTGGAGCACTCGGCGTGCGGCGGCAGAGGAGGCAACGGTAGCACTCTCTCGCGCCCGCACGATCCCTCGGATCGAGCTCACAGGCATGGAAGGACGGCGTCGCACAGGACTCACGGAGGAGAGGGCCCAACCACCACACATACTGGCCACCCCGTCCCGAGAAAAGCAAAGCGCAACACCCCTTCCGAGGTCCAATCGAGGAGGAGGAGGAGGAGGAGAGAGAAGAACCGCAGTAGGCCGAATGCGCATCAGCCACGGCGCACGGCAGCCTCAGCTGCCCCGAGACGCAACACGCAACACGCAGCGCACCGACACGGAGCTCCACACGCAGACTGACAGCGCAGGTCTGTCACAACGACGGGCTCGCCAGAGCGTGGGCCACGACGCCGAGCCAACACGCGCGACGTCCCGGCACGCACGTTTCAAGCACGAGGCGGGCTGCGTTTTTGTTCAGAGCGGGCGCATCGAGGCAGCTGAGATATGACGCCCTCCCGTCCCAAATCCGCCCTCTCGCCATCGCTCGGACGTCCATTCCCCATGCTCGATGGTCCAGGATGGTCCTCGATGGCTCTCGCCGAGAAAAAATGCACACGTCCGAGCGATGCCAAGCCCTCCGTCCTGCGTCCCTGCAGGCCTCCCTCCCCGCTTAAGCCAGGCGCCTCCTCGAAAGCCCAGCACGCCCAGATGGGGGGGGGCATCCCGGCGAGAGGCCCCCCTTTTTCTGAGAAGATGAACTGCGGCCCTGCGGCCCTCCTTCGAGTGCTGAAGAACGCGCGAAGGCATTACTCATCTGGACAACGCAGCATGCAAGGGAGCGATAACTGATGGGGGGAGAAGCGTGCCCTTCTCGGGCACTGGAGGCCACCCTTGGGGTTCGAAAGGGCCCGTGTAGGGGCACCAGGGGCCCCCTGTAGGGGCCCTGCAGGGCCCTTTCTCTGCAGCCCTCGCTGCCCGCCCTGTTCATCGCCCCCCCATTACTCGCCCCCCAAGTCATACAGGTCGGCGAGGTGCCCGGCAGTATCACCGCTCTGATGAGAATCGGGGAGACGTAAGACCCGGGTACGGGGGACTCGGAAATCCCCGACGAGGTCGTCAAAAAAAATGACGAGGCCGAGCCTGCATTTTGACGAGGCCTCCCGCTGCAGACATCCCACGAAACTCCTCCTCGTCAAAATCCGAGGCGCGGTCGTCAAAAAAACGATGGCGAACCCGAGTCCTGGCAAACCCGGGTCTTACGCTCCCCCGAGAGAAGGACCGCCACTGGATGTGCGCCCTCTGCCGCAGGTTCCCACTCCCGGCAGCAGGCGCAGCGGGCACGCCAACCCAACACCCCGTGCCGCAAAGGGCCCGCCCTCCACCCGCGCAGCCGCACCAACTGCTCAACATTTCAGGGCTCTGGATCTATATGAAGGGGCCCCAGGACACACAAATGAATACACACAAATAAACAGATTCCCCATCTTTTCTCGTATTTTCTGGGCTTCTGTCTTCCCCCCCACTTCCCATATTTTCCTATATTTTCCTCGGAGTGGACGATTAATTGTGTCTGTGTGTTTTTTCTCCTCCTGACTATAGAGGTCCTAAGCCGAACACCACACGTTGAAGAAGGAACCGCCCTCCATCCCCGAAGCTGCTGCGAGCCTCTGGCACACAGGTGCGGGCGTGAAGGCGAGAGGCCCATGTTGGCAAAGGGAGCCGCCACCCACCTTTGAAAAGCATGTGCGCTGCGCTGAGGCGAGAATTCGATTTTGCGACTGGTCCGCCCTGAATCCCACCAGCCCTTTGGGCGTGAGTGGTTTAGCGAGCTCTCTCTGTCCTCAACCCCCCATCTTCCCCTTCGGGGAGGGGTTTACCCCTCCCCCTACCCCCTCCCCCTGGACCTGGAGAGGGAGTTCCGAGTGGTGTCAAGGGGGTCTTATTCGACGCCTGGGAGGGCCAAAAAACGACGACCCTCACGAGGATTCTGGCCCCGAGGGGGGGGGGGGGAGTTTGGTGCCTCAGCTCGTCTTTGAAGCAAAAATCATTGATTTTACTAGGGTTTCGGCCCCATTTTGGGCTTCTGAGGGGGCAGCGCTCATCGTCCTTCATAGCAAAATCATTGATTTTACGAAGGTTTTGGGCTCATTTTGTCCTCCTCAGGGGGCAGCGCTCATTTGCGCTTCTGAGGAGGTCGCAAGAGGCCCCAAGATGGCCCCAAGAGGCCCCCAGGAGGCTCCCAAGAGGCCTCCAAGAGGCCCCCAAGAGGCCCCCAAGAGGCCCCAAGAGGCCCCCAAGAGGCCCCCAAGAGGCCCCAAGAGGCCCCCAGAGGCCCCCCCCCAAGAGGCCCCCAAGAGGCCCCCAAGAGGCCCCAAGAGGCTCCAAGAGGCCCCCAAGAGGCCCCACGAGGAGCCCGAACGACTCACACCAGGACGAGGGGCCCGAACGACTCACACCACGAAGAGCCCGAACGACTCACACCACAAGGAGGGGCCCGAACGACTCACACCAGGACGAGGCGCCCGAACGACTCACACCACGAGGAGCCCGAACGACTCACACCACGACGCGGGCCCCGAACGACTCACACCACGAGGAGCCCGAACGAGTCACACCAGGAGGAGGGGCCCGAACGACTCACACCAGGACGAGGGGCCCGAACAACTCACACCACGAGAAGCCCGAACGACTCACACCAGGACGAAGAGCCCGAACGACTCACACCACGAAGAGCCCGAACGACTCACACCAGGAAGAAGGGCCCGAACGACTCACACCAGGACGAGAAACCCCAAACGACTCAAATCACGAGGAGCGCTTTCTCTCCCTCCTCCTCCGCCTCGTCCTTCTCCCGCTCCCCCACAAGGAGGATGTACAAGGAGGCGGGAGGAAGGAGGAACAGGGGAGATATGCGGGGCCAAGCGGACACACGCCTGAAAAACACGACTGTCGGCATGCTTCGCAAGAGTTGCTGCTGTGAGATGGGCTGGTGGGGATACGCGAAGCGTAAAGAATTACTTGAAGATGTGAATACCTTCTTAAAATAATGCGCACAATGCTCAGGCGAGGGCCCCAAATTGAAAAATAGCCGCCCTCCATCATGAAGTCGCTTCAACTTGAAAAACGAATGCGCGCGGCAAACACGCGAGAGCTGCATTTGGAAAACGGCCCGCCCTCCATGCTTGAACCTGTTGCTCCCATCTGAAATAGGGCGCAAACAAGCCTACCTCGCTTTTGACCACCCTCGCTTCCAAGAGATACCGAGCGACGCCAAACTACGGCCTGCGCTGGTCAGGCCGCCTGACGAGGAGGCGCGTGGTATGACTTGGCTTTGCCTGGAAGCGAAAGCGGGGAAGGTAATGTACGCTCTGATGAAACGAACGTGCTCGGCGCTGCAGCGAGAGCCAAATTCAGCAAGCGGTCCGCCCTCCATCCTTGGAGCTGTTGCAGGTTTCACGCGTCAGGAACAAAACTTGGCAATGTAAGGTCTCCAGCAAAACGGTCGGCCCGCCCTGAAGACACGCCTGGAGGTGCGGCAGACACGAATCATCTGTGTGCGTATGAGGAGAAGGGGCTGGGGAAGAGGAAGGAAACGGCAGAGAGAGGGAGGAGGAGGGGCAAGGAGGGAGGACTGGGAGGGAAAACGGCGAAGAACACCGGTAGATGCCAGCGTGGCTACGCAGTCGCCGCTTGAGGTGGCTGGAAGAAGGGGAGGGGAGGGGGGGGGGGAGAAGTAGGATGGAGGAGGGGACGAGGAGGCTTGCCCCCGATCAACATGTGCGCAGGAACCTGCACATCGTCGATGGGAGGGAATGGGTGCCTTGCCGGATCCGGAAACCATCGGGCGACGTTGCCCCCCATGGTCTCCCGATGCCTCCTCTTGCCTCCCGTGGCCTCTCGTTGCCTCCCTTCGCCCTGTCCCTAACCTTAGGTCGGGCGCCGAGAGGCCCCCGAGACAGTCCAAGAGTATCCCGAATCGCCGAATGATCGGTCCAAGTCGCCCTAGGTGGCCTGAAGACGACTGAAGAGGGACCCAAGACGCCCCAAGAGGCCTCCCAGGAACGGAAGCTGGGCGAAGGCTGGCAAATCCGTGGCTGCTAAAACGCTATCCCCTCTCCGGAAGAAAAACACTGATTCCCGGACCAAAACTCAGCGCACTAAATAATAAGCGGGCTTCTTCTCGGAAGAGAAAATCAATTTCCCAGAGCTCCGTTTTAGCAGCCACGGGCTTGCCAGCCTTCGCCTGGCTTCTGCCAGGAGGGCCCCGAGAGGCATGAATCGTCAAGCTCCTGATGTGCACTCCTCCTGCTACCACCGCAAGATGCTTCCGCGAGGCGCGAAGGCCTGCTATCGACAGGCTGAGCTTCACACAGACCTGGGACGCGCGGCCGCACGGACGCCTTCCGCGCGGGGCAGCCGCGAACACGAAAGCCCCCCGCATCGGCGGGCCGCGGCCCCAGGGCCCTGGCCCGCGAGGCCGAGGATCCGGATGCGTATTCCGCCCACGCGAAGCCCCACGGGCAGGTACCACGGAACTGTTCTCTCCGTGAGCTGCCGAACGAGTTCGGCACGGGCCCTCGCCGCAGGCAGCGCGAGCTCGCGCCCGCGCTAGCCCTCGAGGAAGCGCCGCGCGAGCTCGCCGTCCACCTCGAGCAGGGGCCGCTGGGGCACCTCCCAGGTCGTGAAGCCGTCCTCTTTGAGGTGGCTCCAGTAGTAGTGCCTCTGCGACGCGGCGTCCCAAACAGCCTCCCACCTGGGAGCAGGGAGAATCGCGAGCCGCGAACGTATCCAGATCTACGCCCTGCCGGTCCGGACTCCTGGGCGCGACTCCGCGGTTACGCGGCCGCACGGACACGCTCCGCGTGGGGCAACCGCGGACAAAAAACGCCCGTATCGGCGGGGTCGCGGCGCAGGGGCCTGGCCCGCGAGGCCGCGGATACGGATATGGTCCCGCCCACGAGATCAGCGGCGCCACCACCGCCGCCCGCGTGAGCAGCCAGGGGAGGGTCCTGCTGGTGGTGTGGCCCCACGCCCCCTTCGAAGGCCTGCGAATTATGGGAAGCCTGGGATCACCACGAACAAAAACAATTTTTTGTGGTGAGTCGAGGTTCCCCATAGTTCCGAATAGTGGGAAACCTGTAGCTGGACGACTGCCCCTCGAGACATCCCCTAGCTCCCCCCAGCTCGAGCAGGCATCCTGGGTGGTGGTGGTGCTCCCTTCCCCTCCCCAGCGGTGGCACCCCGGGTGGGGGTGTGGTGCCCCTGGTGGTCCTCCTCGCTGGAGGTGGTGGGCCTCCTCGCTGGAAGCCGCAGTGGCGGGCCTCCTCCCCGGCGAACGTTCTCATATTCGGCGTTCTCACATTAGGGCAGAAGGGGGGGGGGGGAGGGGGGTGGTCCGGCTCCGCACCTCTGCTTGATGCGGCTGCTCGCAGCAGCGCGTCCTGTGGGGGGAGAAACTCCGCCTGCCTGAGACAGGCGCCCCAAACAGCCAAGATCTAGTCCATGGGGGGCGGGGCAGGGGGGGGTGCGAGGGCCCGCGCCGATCGGCAAAACAATGAACAAAAATCGATCACCTGCTTGGGGGTGTTGGGCCTCCTCGCTGGAGGCGGACCCCCTGGTGGTGGCCGTGCCGCTGTCCTCTCCCCCGGCCCACCCGAGGGGCAGCAGCTGTGAGTCGCCCACGCGCGGGGGCTGAAGCTGGGCGTGGTAGCAGTCCGTCCTGGCAGGCGAGGTCTCGGCGCAGACATAACGTCTCGCAGGCCCACGCAGATGCATCTTGCGCAACGAAAGCACCCGCCGACGAGCTCCCCCTGTTCCGTTAGGAAAAGCGGTCATGTATAGAATCAACGGCTATCGGTGGTCATCTATTCACCGCCACCCTCCCCACAGGCTCAAGGACAATCCACTTGGGGGGTGACTGTGTAACATAAAAGGGGAGGGAAGCCATTCAGGATCCCCCCAGTGTTATCGTTAGCACCGAAAGGTGAATCAATAATCCGCGGGGGCGGATACAGCGAAGCGATATCTGTAGCACCGTACCAAGCCGCAACAAATCAATTATGATTGCCCCCCCCTCCTCCTCCTCCTCCTCCTCCTCCTCCTCCTCCTACTCCTCCTCCTACTCCTCCTCATCCCTCCTCCTCCTCCTCCTCCTCCTCCTCCTCCGCCAGGGTGCCACTATAACGCTTCAGGGTGCTGGGCGCGCTATCGATTCACCAGAAAGGGGGTGTTGATAATGGCTTCACCAGTCATGTCTCTATTTACAGACATGTATAATGTATACATGCATGTGTATAGTAAACATACATGTGTACATATATGTGTGTGCATGCATGTATGCATGCATGTATGTACGTACGTACGTATATGTGTATAGCTAGATGTACGTATGTATCTATGTATGTACGTGCGTACGTACGTACGTATGCATGTATGTGTGCATGTGTGTCTGTCTGTCTGTCTGTCTGTCTGTCTGTCTGTCTGTCTGTCTGTCTGTCTGTCTCTGTACGAATGAATGAATGAATGAATGAATGCATGTATCTATATATATATATATATGTATATATATATATATTGGATCGGCGCAAGACCCCCTCGACGTCGGAGGCGCTGACAAGGGGTCCCAGCGCCAATCCAAGATATCCGCGGGGACCTGCGAGGGTGGTGATGTGTGTGCAGACGTTTCTTCTTCGACGTCCGCAAGTAGCAGACGCCATCCTCGCCGCGAGACGCCCACCTCCACAATGCGGCGCTGCCGTCGGGCCCTTCCGACGCAGGCCGCGCCCAGCGGGACTCGCCTCGCTGGATCAGTCAGCATCGAATCGGTCATCCGGAGTGGATCGGAACGTGCGTCAGCGCGGGCTGCATCGGCGCTGAGTCGAAATCAAGTCGGATCAGCTGCGCCAAAATGCACAACAGCGCCGTGCGAGCTCAGGCCGCATCGGATCGTCACAATGCCGGAATCAATCCCGATCGGGCAGGTAAGACAAGAACATATCGAGCCAGATCGAAGGGTTCGAAATGGACCCCGCCTGTGCTTTGGCACGCGAAGAACTGATGCGCCTGCGCGTCCACGTGCGCGGCCCAGCCGAACGGCAGCGTTGACTCGCTGGGGGCGACTTCGGCGGCCGCCGCTGCCGCCCGCGCCAGAGGGGCCTGGCCCGGCACCGCGTGCGCCCGAAGTGTCGGGCTCGGCCGGGGAGCCCAGAGACTTCCTGGGAAGGCCCCCACATGGTGTAACCTTACATTATGAAGGGGCCCTGGGACGCACAAATAAATAAACACAAATAACCAGATTCCCCATATTTTCGCATATTCTCTAGGTTTCTGTCTCCCCCCCACTCCCCATATTTTTCCACATTTTCCTGGGAATCGACGATTAATTGTGCCTGTGTGTTTTTTCCCCTCCTGAATTCAAACGAGAAGGAACAATGGCATGGACAAAACCTCTCGGAACTCCGACAGCTTATCCAGACCAGCCTTGCCCAGTAGATCGGGCCGGGGGATGGCACCGCGCGCGCCGCCAATACATCGGCGATGCACCTGTCACGTCGGGACGGAGAGCATCGGGCTGCGGGTGGCGCCACATTGCCAACGCATCGCCGATGCCTGGGCGATGTGGCGCGACCCTCCGACGCCCGACGCCCTGGCACCGTGAGGGATGAGGCAAGGAGAACCTTGCCTCACAAGAAGCTAAAACAGGGCTAGGATCGGGATAAATCGCTCCAGAGCGTTCCGGCGCGCTCTCAGAGCGTTCCGGAACGCTCTGGAGCGGCCGCGGCGCCCAACACATCCTCCAAATCCGCCGATTCTCAGAGATTTCGAGTTATCCCGATCCGATTTTGTCCCGATCTTCGCGTCGTTTTAGAAGCACCCCTGCAAGCGAAGCCCGTTTAGCAAGCGCGCTCGAGGAAGGGATCGAACAGGGCAGGGCCCTTCACCAAGCGCTCAGGGCTGTCTGGCAGCCGCCAGCGTCGGGGGTCGGGGTGGTTTGGTCCTCCCGCGGCGAATGCTTCCTCTGGCCGGCGCGGGCGACCGGGCCACGGCGACGACGCACTGGCGCCACTGCTGCAGCCACTCGTCGCTCCCAGCGCTCCACGAGGACCCCCACCGGCGCATCGCCTCCTCCAGGGCGAGAGCGACGCCAGGAGAACAGCGAGGGGCACCAGATGCATCCCAGGAGCTCCAGAGCAACCAGCGGCCCTCGCTTTCGCAGCCAGTGTGGAATATTTTGTCTCAACCAATGGTTGCGCTCAGGGATTCTACTGTCTGCTAAGGAACTGGGCCATGTCTTCGGCCTGGCGGCGATGAAGCCGCCGTCGCCGCCCCGCCGCCGCCTCGTCTCCGACCGTTGTCTGGGCGGTGTCTTCGGTCTGGCGGCTACGTGGCGGCAGTCGCCGCCATGTCGTCGCCTCATCGCCGCTCAACCCGTTCCAACTACTCAGGGTGCAAAACAGTGATTGCACGACATACGTTCTCATCTGGTGGAAAAGGAATTCGGATCTACCACCCTCCCGAGCCGAGGCCGGGATTATCGATCCCGTCTAGGGATGCGGCGTGCAATTTACATCCGATCCTGCCCTATCGTTCGTTCAACAAATCAACTCCGACATTCCCAGCCAAGCTGGGCTCGACCCTTTCCCCATCCTTAGCCCCCCTGAAAAAACAATGCGCGCACACTGGTTTGTCACAAGTCATCACTTACCAAAAACCTTTAACAACACATTGGCCTAAATGCACACTCGCGCGTCGTCGCGCGCGCATGCCACAAATCTTGAAAATAGATTTAGGCTTGGTAGGGTTGTCAAAATCGACTGACCCAAAAGCATATAAACAACATTCGGTTGTGAACATGTTTCGTCCAAGAAAGTCCACGCTTTTGCGATTTTTACACACAAGAAAGGTTTCTCAGTATGTCACTCATGTGTCGCCAACTGCGACCAAACGGACCTCTCGCGCGCGTGTCGAATCTTCCGACAATCTTCACCACCGACACGTGGACACCATCATCGTCGTCGGCGTGATCAGTATCGGCGCCGTCATTGGCTTTGCCGCCGCCCTGGTCACCGTTGTCACAATCATCGCTACTACTATCACCAATAGCTTCGGCGACACGGTCATCGAAAACCGCCGGCTGGGGATACCTTGTTGCCGTACCGGCAACGCCCAACAACGGCCCATAATCACTGACCCCGGAACCGTCGCTCGGGTGATGCTCGGCCGCGGCATCTGCAGCCGGGCGAGGTGTCGACTTGACCGACACCTTTCCACCTGAAGAAACGGTGGAACCGCGCGACCGGAATAGTCGGAATTGATCACGTAATTAGGCCTGGTTGACGGATGATGGTAGCGGGAAGCTGGACGGGGCAGGGCTGCGGCGCCGCCGTTCTTCGTCTGCCTCCGCGTTGGTGGCGGTTGCCCGCGGGGTCTTCCTGCGGCCGCCGCCGCCATCCGATGGCAATGCGCCTCTTTGCGCTGGGACCTTCTTGCTGAGATCCTGCGGAAAATCTGAGCCGGATCCGCTGACACACAATCAGCGGGAACCGTCTCGATGATTATCTTGTCGATCTCTTGCAAATCATGGCGAAAAACATGGGGACTAGGCCTTTGGTTATTGATCTCCATAGGTTGTCTTTAGATGGCGAAAGTCCTGCTCTCGCTCATTTGGTACAACCACGCCCCAAACAGGTGACGCAGTCACGGTGTTTCGTGATGAACAGTTCGGTGAGTAAGCGGCAGTTTGCCCAGTCATGCCGTGGATGGAGATCTTCCTATAGATGGGCATATGTTCTGGATGGTCTTCTGGATCCTCCATAAAGGGTCCCAGACTGAGCCTCGCAAGAGATGAGTCGGATCTGATGGCGATCTATGAGATTATTCGCTAACCGGATGTGCAAACACTGAGATATGTGGTGCCAACAGGCTGGGAGTAGGGAGGCCTGTCGCGCGCGCTAATTACATCGAGTGCTGCGCGGCGGTGTCGCCGACGCCGGCTTATGTTTCACATAAGCGGTGTTGGGGCGCTGGGTAATCCATATCCTATCATCGTCACGTCTGCACTTGTGGACGTCGCCATGGTACATCGCCCGCTGGAGGCGCCGAGTCGCACTGACGCGCTGGAGCGCCAGCGCGGCGTGCGAGACGCGCTGCGCCGCGGCCGCGTCGATCACGCCAGACTAGCTGACCGCCCTGCCCGCGAGCATGCGCGCGCAAACGCGGCTGCGGCGATGCGCCAGCCGGCGCCCAACAGTCATCGCAATCGCCGCCGCATGGGTTTTGCAACCAAATTGTAAGGGGTGGGTGGGATGTTTGCACGACATGGGAGGTGGTCACGCGCGGAGCAGGTTTGATAATTGTACCACACCTATCTCCCATTCTAACAGAATCTTAAGATCTGCCCCCCCCCCCGCCCCGATTTACCCCCCCCTTTTTTCGACTTGCAATTGACATATGATTCTGCCCCGCCGTCCCTCCGAATTATGAACCATACTATCCCAGCCAGGCCGGTAACGCCCCCCCCCCTTCATCCTCTTTGAAAAAGCACCACGCGCGCAGTCGCTTATCAAACAATCATTAATTTGCAAAGAGCCCTTTGCACAAACATTTGACGAAATGCACAAGCGCGCGTCGTCGCGCGCGCATGTGTCAGAATCCTTATGTAACCTAGGTTTCGTAAGGGCTTCAAAGTCGACTGTCCCAAAAACAAATAAAAAACGTATGGTCTTTGAACAAAAACTCTCTAACACAGAAGCAAAAGGTTGTTGCTCGCGCTCTTGCGAGTTCTTAAGAAAACCACGAAAGTTGTTTGTCAACGTTGCCATCACATGTTACCAAAATTGGCCTCTGGCGCGCGCGTGTCGAATCGTTCGGTCGCCCTGGCGCGTGCTGTCGCAAGAACCCCGTGCAAAAGTGGGGCAAAGTGCACACGCGCGCGTCGTCGCGCGCGCATGCCGCATGTCCGAAATGGGTGCCCGGAAACCGAGTAAACCACACCATGTTGCAACATCCGTTTTCAAAAAAAAAAAAAAAAAAAAGGCGAGCTCTTTTACACGTTTCAAGTAAAACCATCGGTATTTCTCGCCAGTGTCATTCATTTTGGCCAAACGGGTTTTTCGCGACGCATGTCGACATCATTCGAACGCCCTTGCGCGCGCTGGGGGGCACGATCCGTGTCAAATCATACCATGCGGGACACTCTCGCGCGTCGGCCGCGCGCGCATGTCGAACCCCTTCCAAAACCTTCATCACCGACGCGAGGACGCCGTCATCGTCCCCGACGTGATCAACATCGGCGCCGTCACTGGCCGTGCCGTCGCCGTTGCCATCATCGTCACCAGCGTCGCTACTATCATCATCGTGCCTACCGTTGTCGACGTTGCCATGATGCAGCGCCCGCCCACGTGGCCGAATCGCACTGACGTGCCCACTGGGAAGTGCCTAGAGGTCAGCTCCACCGCGGCCGCGTCGGTCGCGCCACACTAGCTGGCCGCTGCACACGCGAGCATGCGCGGGCTAGCGCGGCCGCACAGATGCACCAGCCAACATCAAGCACTCATCGCAATCGCCGCCGCATGTGTTCTGCGAAGCAAGTTGCGGGGGGGCTGGGATGATTGCGCGAGCGGTGGATTCGACAACAGCGAGTTCCACATGTGAACTGCACCATATATATTGTATAGCATACATCGCACAATATATACTGCTAGCGCCACACTGTTTGGATTCCAAGCTGGCTAACATAGTGGATCTCGGAAATCCTGGACACCTTGAAACGCCAGAGTGATCCAGAGTGAAGGGGCCGAACTGTCTTACACCATACTTGGGTGCGTGTGTGAAGTGAAATTCCATGGCCAGGCTTGTGCTTGCTTGTCGTTAGTTGTTGTTGTCGTCGTCGTCGTCGTCGTCGTCGTCGTCGTCGTCGTCGTCGTCGTCGTCGTCGTCGTCGTCGTCGTCATCGTCGTCGTTGCCGTCGCCCCCGAACGACCCCCCCCCGCGACCACCCCGCGACCCGCGACCACCCCCCGCGACCCACCCGCGACTCAACGCCGAACCGCCCGCAACCCCCCCCGCGACCCACCCCAGACCCGCCCCCTCATATCCGTACAGTCGGACCGAGGCCAGATTAACATCCCTCAAGAACATGCGACCCTCCGCTGGCCAAGACAAACAGAACATCTTAGGGTAACCTCCCCAGGATGCACTGGAACATCCAGCAAACACGAAGAACACTAGGGTACCCTCCTCGAACCGACCTCGGCCTTTTACCTCGGTCCGACTGTAATTGCAGCGCACTGCGCAGGAGAGTCCAGAATTGAATCGATAAGTCGGATCGGCGATCGAAAAGAACTGGATCGGCAGAAATCGGCAGCCGAGTCGGGAAAAGCCGAACCGGCGGAAATCGGCAGGCTAGCAGGCCTCCGTTGAGACATCGGAGCCAGAATCGGAATCCAGAGCCGCACCGAATCGGGATCGGAAACCATCAAGATCGAGTCGAATCGGATCGGAGGAACCGAAGCGAGCCCTGCTGCGTATCACGATCCCCTGCCCGACGCGATCCTTCGCGGCGTGCTGCATGACCAACGCGGTGACTGCCCGCAGCGACCCGAGCGCGGCGGCGTCACCCGGCTCGGCGCGCACGTGCAGCCAGCCCCCAAACACCGCGGAGCGGCGCCGCCCGTCCCACCTGGGCGGCGAACAGCGGTGGCCCATGCGAGGATCAAAAAGATCGAATGGATCGCAGGGATCGAAAGGATCGAAAGGACCGAAACGCTCGAAGGAGTCGGGTGGCTACGGACGAAGAGGATCGAGAGGATCGGGGATCGAGGGCCTCACGCGAGGCAGCGCAGCGAGCTTACGCGCGCGGCTGGCGCGCCCCCCTGGCGTGGCACTGCGTGGACAACGATGGGGTGCACGTGCGACACTACACGTGCGGCTTACGCGCCCGTGTCCGCGCAACTGGACACGTCCTCTTCCGCTGCTCACCTGGGCCCGTGGCGGCCACCGAAGAGCAGCATCTGCAGGGGCGTCACCACGGCTGGAAGGGCAAGACCACGGCTCCAGCGCAGACTCTTGGAAGTCCGCGCGGATGCCTTGGATCTGCGCTGGACCCCCCAGGCGGCGCCTGCAGTGCCGCCCCTGGCGCGCTCCGCGCGCCAGGGAACGGAGGCCCAACGCCGATCCAAGCAACTGCGGGCGGACGTCCGAAAATGTATGCTTGTGCCGCCAATTGCCCTTCGAATGGTGGCGCCCCGGAGCATCTTGCCGCCGCTCCCGCAGGAGTAGTCGGCGTAGGCCAGCAGGGGCGACGGGGGCTCCTCCTCCGCGCCGCCCCCGCCGCCGCACAGCACCGAGGACTTCTCCAGCCTGGCCGGCTTCGCCCAGCCCGCATGCGCGCGGCGGCCACCCTCCAGCTCCGCGAGCTTCTCGCCGCCGAAGAAGGTGAGCACCGTCTGCATGAGGGGCCAGTCCTGAATCAGCGCGGCTGGCGCCGCCACCTGCGGGCATCGTTTCACCGATCCCCATCCCCGTGCCCCCCCCCCGATGAGATGGGGGGGGACGACGACGACGACGACGACGACGACGACGACGACGACGACGACGACGACGACGACGACGACGACGACGACGACGACAACGACCACAGGGCCACGACAACATGGGGGGAACCCATCGCACGGGGGGGGGGCGGGGGCGAAGGCATCAGCATGAGAGAGGGGAGGAGGCCCCGAGCCCTGGGCCATACATCCTGTTTCCCTCGCCAGACATATTCCCACCTTGGGGGGTGAGGCTGGTGGCACTGAGGTAACATTGCGCAGTGGAGATGGGGATCGGTTCGACGATGCTCAACATGGTCGCTGTCGGCGGGGGCCGCCTCCTGCGCGCATGGCCCAGAGTCGCACCCCATCTCGCGCAGCGAGTTGGACAGCTGCTCGCGGGCGCTGGCCATCTGCTGCATGACTGGCAGCACCAGGCTGTGGTCGTTGCAGAAGCGGTTCTGGCTCGCCCACCTCCGTGGGGCGCGACGTCGCCCCATTCCTAAGGTGCCCCCCGCTCCGCGCCACGTTTTGAAGCCCCTCGGGCCCGCTGGGCCTCGTGCGGGGTGCTCGGGGGGCCACCAGGGGCCCCCAGGGAAAAAACTTGGGGGCGCCCTGGGCCAGGGACGCCTCTCTGGCAGCGCCGGGCACCTGCTCCGATACGCGCTGGCGCCGCACGTGCAGAAGCTCGCCAGCGCGTTGGCGCTGCAAAAGACGTCGCTCCAGGGCTCGTCGGTGAGCCCGGGGCCCCTGGCGAACCGCCGGGCCGCGCTGCCGCCGCCGTCCGAGTCGCGGCGCCTGGCCCACGGCTCCCGGCCCTCCACCGCGGCAGCCACGAGGCTGGCGGCGTCCGCGGCGCCGAGCAGCCCGCCCAAGAAGAGCGCGGCGCCCAGCCGGGGCGGCAGGGGCAGGCGCGCCAGGAGGGCCCCGAGGTGCGTCAGGTAGCCCTGGTGGTCGAGCACGCCCAGGTGCATCAGCTCGTAGAAGGCCCTTCGCACGTTCCTGGTGTCCGGAGGATCTGGCGCGCCCTCGAGGAACTTGGCCACGCCCGCGTGCGCGCCGAGCTCCCTGAAGCTCTCCTCGCTGGCTGCGCCGTCCAGGCCCAGGTCGCACACGGAGACCATCATAGAAAAAGAAAACACGCCATAGACATACACTTTTGGTGTTCCGCGCGGATTTTTGGTATCTGCGACGGGCCCCTCCCTGGCGCGCGGAGCGCGCCAGGGGCGGCGCTGGAGGTGCCGCCGGTGGGGCCCGGCACGGATCCAAGAAATCCACGCGGAGCGCTGAAAGTCTATGTTTATGGCGTTTTTTCCCTTTCAACATCACCTCCTCGAGGGGCACCCGCCTCATCTCTGGCTCGGGCTCCGCGTCGAGGGCCTCGAAGCGCGCCCTGGTGATCAGGTGCACGCACGTGCCGTCCCTTACCCTGCCGGCGCGGCCACGCCTCTGCACGAGGTTCGCCTTCGAGGCCCACATCACCTCCAGGGAGTTGTGCCACTTCACGCGGGCCATCCCGCTGTTGGAGGAACAGGAAGACCGCACAAACATAGACGTTCGGAGCTCCGCGCGGATTTCTGGGACCGGCGCTCGACCCCCATCCCCGGCGCCGGGGGCGCCGCCAGGTGGGCCTTGGCGCCGATCCCAGCGATCCGCGCGGAGCTCCGGAGGGTTATGCTTTCATGCCGCTGTTCCTTCCTCGAGCTGTCGACCACGCACACCACATCCGGTATGGTTCGATTCTCCTCAGAGGATGCGCTGGCGCCCACGCGCGCGCGTCCGCCAAGGCACCTTCAAGACGACGCCGGCGGCGCAACGAGGGCCGACACGGGCTGCTCGCCCAGGGGACGAAAGCACGGCATAAGCCTAAACTTTTGGAGGTCCGTGCGGATGTCGTGGATTTGGGATAGGGCCCCCTCCCCGGCGCGCGGAGCGCGCCAGGGGTGGCGCCCGAGGCGCCCCGCGCGGATCCACGAAGCCCGCGCGGAGCGCCAACAGTGTATGTTCATGGCGTTTTTTCTTCCTCCCTCGGGCAGAGGGCGCGCTCGGGCCAACACACGTCCTGGGGACCATCGTATGGTGACCGAGGTCTCCGCGATGTCCGTGCTCAGGATCGCCTTGCGGCGGCCGTGGCCCGCGGGGCCCAGGGCGCGCCGCTGCTCGTCTGGGGGCACGGTGCTGTGGAGGCGGACGACCTCGTAACCGCGGAGCTGCGGGTCCTGCGACAGCAGCGCCGCGCACGCGGCGATCTCGCGCCTGCGGGCACGATGCGCATCCCCACTCCACTGCTTCTGGGGGCTTCGAGCTCCCTTCCTCAGACGCCTGGGGCGCAGCGGATGCAACATCTGGCCCCTGGAGGCCAGATGCTTAGCCATACCTACACGACCAACCTTCGGGTGGTAAGGAGGGTGGAGGGGAAAGGACCAACCGATGGCAATCTTGGTGGTTGTGATGAGGACGATGCCTGTGATGCGCCCTCGGGTTGGCAACGATCGATCTCACAACAGGTCGCAATATCGATATCCCAATCGATCTCACAATCGATCTGACAATCAAACTCACTATTGATCTCATTTCGGACCCACTATCGATCTCACAACAATTCTCACTGTCAGTCTCCAAATCGATCTCCCAATCGATCCAACAATCGGCCTCATGATTGATTTCACCGTCGATCCCACTATATACCTATACGACCACCCTGCGGGTGATAAGGAGGCAATGGGGGAGGGGGAACCAACGTCTCACTCAATCGATCTCGCTATCGATCTCACATTCGATCTCACTATCGATATCACTATCGATCTCGCTATCGATCTCACTATCGATCTCACAATCGATCTCACATTCGGTCTCACATTCGGTCTCACATTCGGTCTCACTGTCAATCTCACTATCGATCTCACAATCGGTCTCACTATCGATCTCACATTCGGTCTCACATTCGGTCTCACTGTCGATCTCACTATCGATCTCACAATCGATCTCACAGTCGATCTCACATTCGGTCTCACATTCGGACTCACTATCGATCTCACAATCGATCTCATTATCGATCTCACAGTCGATCTCACTATCGATATCCCAATCAATCTCGCAATCGATCTCACATTCGGTCTCACAGTCGAACCGTCATCATCATCATCATCATCATCATCATCATCATCATCATCATCATCAACATCATCATCATCATCAACATCCACATCAACATCAACATCATCATCATCGCAATCATCAACATCATCATCATCACCATCATCATCACCATCATCATCACCATAATCATCGTCATAATGATCATCAACATCATCACAATCGATCTCACAATCGATCTCACATTCGGTCTCACATTCGGTCTCACTGTCGATCTCACTATCGATCTCACAATCGATCTCACAGTCGAACTCAGATTCGGTCTCACATTCGGTCTCACTATCGACCTCACTTTCGATCTCACAATCGATCTCACTATCGATCTCACATTCGGTTTCACATTCAGTCTCACTATCGATCTCACAATCGATCTCATTATCGATCTCACAGTCGATCTCACTATCGATATCCCAATCGATCTCGCAATCGATCTCACATTCGGTCTCACAGTCGAACCGTCATCATCATCATCATCATCATCATCATCATCATCATCATCATCATCATCATCATCAACATCATCATCATCATCATCATCATCATCATCATCAGAATCATCATCGCAATCATCAACATCATCATCATCATCATCACCATCACCATCACCATCATCATCATCATCATCATCATCATCATCATCATCATCATCATCATCATCATAATCATCCACATCATCATCGGGACACCGACGGGACACGGACGGGACACCGGCGGGACACCGGCGGGACACCGCGGGCCACCGGCCGCCCGGAAGGGAGTCATTTGGTCCGGCCGCGCCTCAGCCACACGGGACACCAGCGGGACACCGGCGGGACACCGCGGGCCACTGGGCCGCCCGGAAGGGAGTCATTTGGTCCGGCCGCGCCTCAGCCACAGGAGACTTTCTCTCGCCCGCCCACGCAGCTTCGCCTCGCCCGCACGCACGGCACGCACGAACACGAAACCGAAATCGATTTCCCGGTAGGGGGGCTCTCCGTTCCACTTCGATCTCACCCCCTCACCTCCGATCCTACAAGCGATCTCACCATCGCTCTCACAACAGATCTCACTATCGATCTCACAACGGATCTCACGATCGATCTCCCAAACGATCTCACTATCGATCGCGCCGCCCCGCTCCGGGACACGGAACACCGACGGGACACCGACGCGACACCGACGGGACACCGACGCGCCACCGACGGGACACCCCTGGCCACCGCGCGCCAGGGGGGGAGGGGCGGACAGCCGGCTCCGCAGCCCCCAGTCACGGCGGCACCAGTCCCCCCGGGCGCCCACGCAGCAGCGCCTCGCCCGCACGCGCGGCACGAAGACGACACCCACACCGATTGCCCGCCGGGGGGCTCTGCGTCCCGCTGCGCTCTCACCCCTCCACCGCCGATCCTAGAAGAAGAAAAAACGCCATAAACATAAGCTTTTGGAGGTCCGCGCGAAGTTCCTGGACCCGCGCCGGACCCGCCCTCCCTGGCGCGCGGAGCGCGCCAGGGGCGGCGCTGGCGGCGCCGCCAGGGGTGGTGGGGACCCAGCGCGGATCCAAGAACTCCGCGCGGAACGCCAACAGTTTATGCGGATGCCGGTTCTTTCTTCTTCGCTTCCACTGCGATCTCACCCCCCCGCCTCCGATCCTGGGGAAACCAAGAGGTACCGATACCGCTGCTCCCCAGACCTCTCCTGGAGCGCACTCTGACCAGGATCTCGAGGCGAGCCCAGGGGTGGCGACGAGGGCCTCCCGGGAGGCCCCCCGAAAAGGGGAGCGATCCGCTGCGCTTCGGCCGCCCAGCGCCCCTTGTCCCAGAGAGTACCAGACACGCCGCGGGCACGGGTAGGAATGAATAATCTTAGGTCGCGCATGTCACCCTACAGGCGGATTCTGAACGACAAAGCAAGAATAGTCAAAACACAGGTTCAACACGTACCCCACAATTGTCAAACAATCGTCCCCAGGCAACTTTTTGACTAGTTTTGAGGGTTTCTCCTGTAGAGGGACACGCCCGACAGAAAACTGATTGCTGCCCGCGGTGCCAGCCCGGAAGGAAGACCAGCACGCTGCCGGGCGCCTCCGAGCGCGCGACCCAGGCCAGGATGGCGGCGATGAGCCCGAGCGGCAGGACCCACTCCTGGATGGGCCAGCTGTCCACCACCACTGCCACAGGCAGGACGGGGGAGAAGGGAGGATGGGTAGGTCCTCCTCCTCTTCCTCCTCCTCCTCCTCCTCCTCCTCATCCTCCTCCTCCTCCTACGCTTCCTTCTCCTCTTCCTCCTCCTCCTCCTCCTCCTCCTAATTACGATTCCTCCTCCTCCTACCTCCTCCTCCTCTCCTCCTCCTCCTCCTCCTCCTCCTACGCCTCCTACGCCTCCGCCTCCTCCTCCTCCTCCTCCTCCTCCGCCTCCTCCTCCTCCTTCTCCTCCTCCTCCTCCTCCTCCTCCTCCTCCTCCTCCTCCGTCTCCTACCCACGGTAGTGGTGGTGGACAACTGGCCGATCGCACTCCTGCAGCGAGCGCACCGTCTCGACGGTGGCGGCGGAGAGCGCGCCGCTCCTGTCCTCGAACTTGTCGTGGGCCCGGCACTCCGAGGTCAGGCTCACGGGCATGCCGCCGGCGGCCGCGCCGTGCTGTGGCCGCGGCGGCCGCCAGGCGAGCTCCTCGACGACGTCTTCGAGGTAGAGCTCGCGCACCTCGAAGGAGCGGCCGCGCGCCTCAACGATCGCGCAGTCGTCTCCGAAGTACGTCCTGAGCTTGTGCACGTCACAGGTCGCCGACATGACCACCACGCGCAGGCTGGGCGAGGCGTTCGCCAGGTCCTTCAGCACCGTCAGCAGGAAGTCAGTATGCATCTCGCGCGTGTGGGCCTCGTCCACCACGATGTGGCTCGCCCCGAGCCGCGCCAGGCGGGGGAGCAGGGCGCCGACGGTGCAGAAGACGATGGGCCGGAGCAGGGCCAGGGGAGACACAGCGGCGGCGCTCCCGCCCGGCCGGGAGCGAGCGAGCGAGCGTAAGCCTTGCGCCGGGCGGCGCGCGAGCAGGGGGGGAAACACGAGAACATCAGTGCAGGACTCCAGCTCCAGACCTCCAGCTCTAGAACTCCAGCTCCAGAACTCCAGCTCCAGATTCCTGGGCGTCGCTCGCCACAAGGACCCACATCTCCTTGAAATGCCCATGACACGGCCAGCGATTCTTGATTCTTGGCCCGTTGGCAAAATAGGCACCTGTGACCTGAAGACCCCCCAACTACCCTCGCCCGGAACCGCGCGGAATCGGTCTCAGAAGCTCCGCTTCATCCGTGAGGAGGAGGAGGAGGAGGAGGAGGAGGAGGAGGAGGAGGAGGAGGAGGAGGAGGAGGAGGAGGAGGAGGAGGAGGAGCAGGAGGAGCAGGAGGCGGAGGCGGAGGCAGAGGAGGGCCCACCGCTTCCACCTCCCGTGCGGCATCGCCATTCGGGGGCCTCGGCAGGCGGCGGACACGGACTTGCTCGCCCCCCCCCCCTGGGCCCCGAGTGCGACCACATCCCCCGCCTGCCGAGGTCCCCGGAAATTGTCGGCGGCGCGCAGGAGGGGGGGGGGTAGGGGGAGGGGAAGGAGGAGGAGGAGGAGGAGGAGGAGGAGGAGGAGGAGGAGGAGGAGTAGGAGGAGGAGTAGGAGGAGGAGGAGGAGGAGGAGCTCCCCATGCTCCCTTCGCCCCCGTCCTACACCTGGCAGCGGTGGACACTTTGCCCCATCCGCCGTGGTCTCCGCCGAGCCCCCTCCGAGGTGGAGCCCCAGGGCCTCGGCGGGCGCTCCTCCCAGCGCACCACGTGGCCCACGGAGGCGCCCGCCGGCTCCGCCTGCCAGCCGTCCTGCCAGCCGTCCTGCCAGCCGCCCTCGCCGCGCTCCCACGCGACCCGCTCGGCGAGCGCCAGCGCCGCCACGCGCCGCGGCTGCGTGCACACGACGTGCACGCCCGCTCCTGAATCGGGGATGGACGGACCTCCCTTTAGTAAAACGTGGTTTGGTGAAAACGACCTCGGGCCCAAACGGCCGCGGCGCCCTCTCGAGAACCGAAGACGGACAATTCACTAATCGACGTGTCAGGGTAGGAGGTCTGTCCACCCCCGACTGAATGGGAGCCGCACCCGGGCGCGGAGCGCCACCGGCCGAAAGCGCCGGAGGCACGGGGCGGGAAGCAGAGGAGGTGGCCGCGCGGGAAGGCCCGGGGGGCGACGTGGAGCGCAAGCCAGCGGACTGCGGGGTGGACCGCGTGCGGCGCGGGCGCCCCTGGATGGGATGTCGAGCGTGCAGGATGACCATCCCAGACCCCATCGCGCCGCGCAGAAGAGGACGGGAGGTTCTGACGTCGCGGGTCTGGGAGGAGGGGGGCTGGCCCGGGGGGGGGGGGCAGTGGCCCCCAAAGTCGGTGATGCATCTCCCACAGACCGGCGGCAGGCCCTGGTAATTACCATGACCGCGCAATCCTGGGCAGGCAGGCGGGGGCACCCAGGACCAAGATCGGTCAGCATCGAGTCGGCAAATCGGATCGCACCGACATGTGCATCGGATCGGGCTGCACCGGCACGGACTCGACATCGAGTCGCATCGGCTGCGCCGGGGTGCACAACAGCGCCGTGCAAGCATCGGGCCGCATCGGATCGCCGGAATGTCAGAGTCGAATCGGATCGGGCTGGCCGGACTCGACATCGAGTCGGCCCGATCAGATCGACCTGGACCCTGCCCAGACCTGACCGGCGAGAAGCGGGCGACGTGGGGGTCGATGCTTCCTTCTCCCCAGGGGCGGAAGCACCCACTGACATTGCCCCTGAGCTCCCTGGCCCCTCTCCACTGCGTCGTCCAGGAGCCACTGGGGCACCTCAGGTGTTCGTCAACGGGGGGGGCACTAACAAGAGCCTCCAGGGCACCCTCGGGTGGTCGTTAACGGGGGTGGTACAGTGGAGGCCACTCCACAAGAAACCTTCCACAAGAAACCCAACCCTGAGACCCCAGGACGTCCATGGGTTCTTGGTGTCGGAGCGTCACGCCCTCCACAGCAGAACCAGCGAAACTCAGGAAACCCAGGGTACCCTGGAGGCAAGCAGGGTGTTTCTAGGCATGGGCCCCCACTGCAGGGCACCCTCGGGTGTTCGTTAGTATTAACAGGGGGGGGTAAAAATATGGGGTGAAGCAGCGTGCCCCTTCTGGGCCCACGGCGGCACTGCAGGGGCCATGCAGGGCCCCTTTCCAGGGCCACGTCCCCACAGTCCTCGAGACCCTCACGCTGATTGCACCCCCCCTGCCCTCCCCTGAGAATCGACGTCGCGAAAAAAAATGCAGCATCGCGAAAAGTCTCGGCCGGAGCCCCAGACCCCGTTTTTCTGCTGCAATTTCGAGCTGGACCGATCGATGATGGTCCCAGGGCCCGACACCAGACGAAAACGCCCGTTGCAAAACATTGCAAAGCCTGGATATCAGGGTCTGCCCGAGCACCTGCGTGGACTTCCCAGAACCGGTGTCCGCGGTGACCAACGTGAACCTTGAACTGCATATTCGGGGGACCTTGTCTGTCCCGTCGCGCCGCGATCCGTGTCGAATCCGTGCCGAACGCGTCGAATCCACGCCGAATCCAATCGCATCATCGCCGGTTACACGGCGAATCCACGCCGACCACACGCCGGATATTAGACAAGACCACGACGTATTGGACTGACGAGGACCCCCGAAAATGCAACACTAGGCTGCGGCTGCGAGCCCGGGGGAAGTGAGAAAAGGCTAACCTTCTCAGAAGGCGGCACCCAACGGCCTTCTGACAAGTGTTCTGTGCATGCGGAGAAACAAATCAAAACATGTTCGCCAACGCGGACCCCGAACAGTGTGTTTCTAGCAATATGCGCGGGCAATGTATGTGGTGCACTTCGTGAGGTGCTAATGTACGTGGTGCAACCCATGTGGTGCAATCTACGTTGTGCAATATTTGTGGTGCAAACGATGTGGCACAATCTACGTCGTGTAATTCATTTGTGGAACTCGCAATTGTCAACTCCACTGCTCGCGCAATCATCCCACCCACCCACACGCAATTTGTTTTGCAAAACACATGCGGCGGAGATTGCGATGAGTGCTTGGTGTTGGCTGGTGCAGCCCGCGCATGCTCGCGCGCGCAACGGGCGGATCGACGCGGCCGCGGTGGCGCTGACCTTTGGGCACGTCCCAGCGGGCACTTCAATGCAAATCGGCCACTTGGGCGGGCGCGGTATCATGGCAACGCCGACAACGGTAGACACGATGATGGTAGTAGCGACGCAGGCGACGATGATGACAACGGCGGCGGCACGGCCAGTGACGGCGCCGATGCTGATCACGCCGACGACGATGACGGCGCCCTCGCGTCGGTGATGAAGGTTTTGGGAAGGCGTTCGACATGCGCGCGCGGCCGACGCGCGACAGTGGCCTGGATGGTACGATTTGATACGGATCGTGCCCCCCAGCACGCGCGCAAGGGCGTTCGAAGGATGTCGGCAACTTTTGATATTCCTGTGAATTCACAAGAGCGCGATCGCATTTCTTTATTTAACTGATGTTGCGAAGCCTTCTGGTGTTTTATATGTTTTCGGGGCACTGGGTTTGGAGCTCCCTACGAAAACAAAGGTTGCTTAAGGATTTCGGCATGCGCGCGCGGCAGCGCGCGCCTGAGCACTTCGCCCGATTGTTTGCAAGGGATCTTTGCGACAGCACGCGCGCAAGGGCGTCCGAACGATTTCGACACGCGCGCGCGAGAGGCCCATCTGGTTGCATGATATGGCAATATTGAAAACCAATGGTCACCCAAGGCTTCGCAAGAGCGCGAACGCATACGTTTGACAGGTCTTGTTGCGACACCCTGCATGTTTTATCGGTTTTCGGGGCGCTTGATTTTGACACCCCTTCGGGACCCAAGGTGGGCGGAGCATTTCGGCATGCGCGCGCGACGGCGCGCGACTGTGCATTTCGTCCCCTGTTTTGCAAACGACTATTTTGAATTGGTGGGTCCTGATAAACAAATGCGTGTGCGTACGGCTTTCCCAGAGGATGAGGGAGGGCCATTCCTGGCCTGGCTGGGACGATATGAGTTCGTACGTTGGATGGACGATGGCGCAGAAACACGTGTGAATTGCAATCCGGAAAAAAAAGTACCCTTAATTCTGGGGGATGTATCCGACCAGTCCTTTAGAAAGAGAGCAATTCGCAGTGAATCGTCAACCCACTGCTCGCGCAATCATCCCACCCGCTGACCCGTAACTTGGTTTGCATGAGCCCATGCGGCGGCGATGGCGATGAGTGATTGACGTTGGCTGGTGTATCTCATTCTCTGCGGTCGCGCTAGCCTGAGCATGCTCGCGCGCGCAGCGGCCCGCCAATTTGGCGCGACCGACGCGGCCACGGTGGCGCTGACCACCGTGTTCCCGTCGAGCTCTTAAGCGAAAGTCGGCGCCTTGGGCGGGCGCGGAACCATGGCAACGTCGACAACGGTAGTCGCGAAGATGATAAGAGCGATGCTGGTGACGATTGTGACAACGGCGACGGCAAGTCCATTGACGGCGCCGATGCAGTTCACGTCGAGGACGACGACGGCGCCCTCGCATCGGCGAGGGAAGTTATAGCACACGTTCGACATGCGCGCGCGGCCGATGCGCGCGAGTGGCCCGCATGGTATTCTTTGAAACGGACCGTGCTCAACCCCCCAGCACCCGCGCAAGGGCGCTCGAATGAGTTCGCCTTGTGGCGCGAGGGGCGCGTTCGGCACAATTCGATGAACAGGCTGAACAACCTATAGCGTTCTCAAACATTCGCAAGGCCG